GGTAAAGAGCGAGAAAAATTTGCTTTGTGCTTTACAACAGATCGTATACTTCTCGTTATTAGGTGGCAGTCAGATTCAGACAAGTGAGTAACTTGCATCCGGTATTCAAGTTTCGGTATAAGGACAGCATTATGTAAATAAACAACTTGTTTGGATGAGAGCTTTGCAGGGCGGATGGTTGCAGCGAAGGAGCAGCATTCTCGTTTGAGTTGTTTCTTGACAAAATCCCGGGATCTTTTAATGTTAAACCAAACACCTAAAAAACGAAAAGAAGTTGTCATAGAAATTGGGGTAATGGTAATGGAAGGAACACTATTTAATGAAGATAAATCTAAATTAAAAGTAATAGGAGATAAACTGGTTAAAAACCAATATATCGGGTAGCAGATATGTATCAGATATGTACCCAATATATGTAGTATTAATGCAGAAAATTGAGTACTGATATGTATATGATATGTAAATGATATATAGACGATATATATATTTACACATATTTTACATATATCGGGTACCCAATTTTCTGCATTAATACTACACATATTGGGTACATATCTGATACATATCTGCTACCCGATATATTGGTTTTTGACCAGTGCATCGTCCCTGATTCAGTTCTGGATTACTCTCTAACTTAAACCAATCCAAACTATTTAGAGTTTTATGATTGTTACTTTAATTTTAGTTCTAGTGTAACATTTAGAATAACAAATATTTAGAATTTTGCCATGTTTTTAAAGAATAAGGTGCATTGCTTACAAAAAGGCAGAAAATTTCCAGTTTAATTAAACATTACCTAAATTTTATTTCAAGAAAAAGTTAGCAGCTTTATAAATAAATTTAATTGTAATAAAAGCCATTTTAGGTAACAAAATAAAAATAATGTCAGTATTTAAAATTCTTTTTTTTTGTTGCTTTTTAAATGATCATTCTACTATTCAATTTAGTATAACAAGTAATGATCTAATCAGAATAGTAATAGCATTATAACTCACTGCCATTACTTTCACCAGGGACTGTAATTGAAAATTTGTAATTATCCTATATATAATCTAATGTAAATTTTTTATACTAAAAATTGCAAATTTTATATATAATATAATAATAATTGATATACTTTATAATAATTTATATTTATTTTACTATAAAATATATTGTTAATAAAAGTGATTTAACTTTTATTAGTTGATTCTATACTTAAAATTTGTTTATAAAAATAGTTTTAATAAAATGATTTTTATCATTAGTAGAATATCACCATATAATATAATTTTTGTCATTAGTAAAATATCACCATATAATATAATTATATTATATAATGATATCCCATTTACTTTAGATTATATTACTAGTACTATATAATTTAAATACTGCCATATATTCTAATTATCATTATATAATCTGAGTATCACCATATAATCTACTATAAAGTCCTGAATATAAGCAAACTTTTTTTGTTATAAAGGTACTTATATTTAAGTAAATTTATATATTTGGTATATTGTAGTATTGGCTAAAATTATCATAGTGTTGGTTAAGGGTGCTTACTTTCAGGTAATATAAAAATCTGGGAGTGCTTATATTCAGGGATGCTTATAATCAGGACTTTACAGTAATTATCATCATATAATCTAAATAATATAATCTAATTTATATTACTATATAATCTAAATAATATAATCTAATTACCACTATATAATCTATATATTTTTACATATCAGATATTTTTTTTTATATTCTAGCTATCTTTTTAAACCTTTTCTGCTATTTGTATTTTTTATCACCATATAATTTACTTATCATTCACCATTTAACTTAATTATGCATTATATAATCTAAATATTATGCTTTTTTTCTTATTTCTAAGTTGTCTACATTAAACATGGGTTCAAAATTGAAACTTTTCAAAATCCTTTAAGTTTCTGTATATACCAAAACTTAGTTTCAGGATGTATACTTATTTTCTGAAATTTGAAACCCAAAATCTAGCCTGAAATCTAAAATTAGTTTCAATTATACTAAAACCTTATTTTATGATTACATTTATAAAACTATATTAAAATCATCTCCTTCATACAATTATTGAGTAATTAAATATCTTGTTCTAATTGCCTGTTATCCTATTCATTAAATCATCTGATTTATTCTTAACATTAAATATTAAATCTAAATTAAGTACATTTAAGATTTCTAAATCCTAAGTCATTTTAAAATGAATCCTATTTACAATTATCATTAGTAAATAAATTTGATAATAATTTCAGATTTTAAAAGAAATTTCAGAATAATCAAAGCTAGTTTCAGAATTCAGAATTAGTTTCAGAATTCAGAAACACTTTAGGATTTTAGAAGAAATTTCGTTTTGTATATTCTAAAATCCAAAACTTTTGAAAATCTTTATAAAGGTTTCAGGCCCTATGTTTAGTCTATATGCTAAATTCTATAATAGGTTGTTAACCTTTTGTAGCTGTTTAAATACCTGATTTTATGTTGAGAATATTGACTTCCTACACCTAATTGGATATCAAATTCTATATTGAAGTGCTTATCTTTTTGTGTTTATTTAGTTACTTTTCTAAATGTCAAAATGTGATAAAAAAAAGTGTGAGATTTAACTTATAATTATATATATCTATCAATGTTGTACATCTTATTTACTGCTCTGTTTTTGGTAATTTGAAGTTGCAATGCCATTTACAACTTGTTTTATTAGAGCTTTACTTGTCTCTCTTATGACCATCATCAACGTTCTTATGCAAATGTTACCAATAATAACTACTCAAGATCTTGCTCTTGTTCTTAGCAATCCCTTTCACAATAATGTACATTCTAATTAACTTCCTTATAAGTTTTATAATTACCACTTAAAGAGCAATAAAATGATTTATAACGTGTAATAGTATGATTGTTTAGGTCTTTATTATTATGATAAACCTAATACCTAAAGTCTCTTTCTAAACAATATGCATTTATAAACCTATCAATGGATTCCCAATCATCAAAATTATTTCCAATACAAAGATTGTATTGATAAGTAGAACAGTTAAAAGTGTTTATATTAGAAGTATTTGTATTATTAGTAAAAGGTTCTATAAATTCTATTTCTAACCCAATAAAAGAATTATTAGGACTTAGGAGACATAATAATATCTTCTAACTCGCTAATAACAATTTTGGCACTTTTAGCAATTTCAGAACTTTTAGCAACTTTGGCATTTTCAACATCAAGGCTTTCAAAACTTTCAGTAAAAAAAGGCATAACAACTTCCTCAATATTTTTGGGAAGATTTATAAAGGACTTACAGTTTAATTCCATTATAGTAAAGATCAAACACATGGTAAAGAGTGAATAACATTACAGTATAAATTTGCACTTTTAATAATATAAAAAAGTTTATTTCTGTAAGCAGAAATTTGTACTAAAAATACATAATACAAATAAAATGAAAATCACCTGAGATGAAACAAAAAGTAAAAAATATTAAATTCACCACCAGTAAATAAAACATGAAAATTATTTAAAATCACTTTAGGTGATTAAAAATTTGAAATAATCTAGGATGAATTTTAAATTAATTCTTATATAAAATAAAATATAAAAATAAATCTAATATTTATGATATTACTGAAATAAGGAACAAAAGTGTCTATACTCTCAATAGTAATGAAATTTATAAAGAGATCAAAATCAAGAGCAAGAATGCTTGTGTTCTCTATACTCGTATTTTCTATAATCTGTACATATTCTTTTAGCAGCTCAAATCTGTGCTAGAAATAAACAATAAATTAATATAAATGCAATAAATTAATAAAAATTAGTTAAATAATAAATACTTACATTCTGTTAACCAAAACTTATCAGAGAGTTTTTTATAGAATAGCTTGTCATATAAAGTTGAAGTATGTATCAGAAATCCTTGTAAACTTCCATTTAATAAGCACTCAAGATTTTTGTAACCTGACCAATAAATTCCATTTTGTGCAGCATTGATCTTTAGTTGATGTATAATTTGGATACGCTATGAACGATCCTTATCCAGATTTTCCTTTGAAAACGAATTAGAGTTATTGTGAATAAATATTGGTAAATTCAACAACACCTGATTAAAGTTTTGGCAGTATTATTAGACCACTGCAAATAGAAAGCTGGCAGTTCTCCTTATAGTGCCATAATTTATTTATGATAAAGATTACACAGCTTAATTCTGCATTGTGTTGCTTTTTTAACAGACCTATATACTTATTGCTTTTCTTTTAATCTTCCATTCCAAAGTTTCACAAACTGTCTTTTGATTTGGCTGATATTAATGACTAATTTCAAGGCTTAAAATTTCATTCTCTGATTTTTCTAATAATGCATCCATCCAATTTAACATTCTTCATTTTGATATTATCAAATTCAATTGTTATTATTTTTCTGGTATTTGTCTTCATTAATTCAACTGCTTTTCCACCAAAATTCAAGCCCTAAAAATACACAGGTATAATCAGTTACTAGTTCATGAACATTGGTGAGTTAAAATCATTGTTCTATGCTATTTGAAGAATTGAATGGATATCAATTGAATGCTTCAGTAAGGATAGATTTTCCAAGGGGAAAATATCCCAACTATCACCCAGTTCTATCAACTTCTTGATACAGTACAGGATACATGTATATTGAAAATCCCTTTAAATTGATTATGATGAAAAAAATACCCATCATTTTTCTCCTTTAACCATGACATTATTTTCTTTATAACACATGATAAATTGTTTCCAAAAGCCTTATTCAAGAGAAACTCAATTTCACATTCCTTAAATCCACACAAGTCCCAAAATTTTTCATTTAATGCTGATTCTTCCAAAATGTTAAAACCTCAGTTATAATGGCAGGAGTCACACCAGTTAGAAAAACATGAGCTACATCTTCATCACAAACAATCTTCAATATACTGAAGGACTGTTTGAACAAACTTTCAATTAATTGGATTTTATTTTTAGTGGAGTCACCTTCATTTTTGTGATGATTGGTGAGACGTGGAGGAGTGTTTCATTTTTAAGGGCTTTATTTGTTCATAGTTAAAGATTGTGGTAAGCTTGTCTGCTAAGTAACTTATGGTTGGATTATTTAAGGTTATCCAACCTTCAATTACTGATTTTTTTCCAAGAGGTTGGCAGGGTTGAACCATCTTGGATGAACTATTGTCCAAGAAATATTGTTTTTTGTTATGTTCTGGACAATATTCTTGCATAATAATTGGACAAAATTGATTCAAGTTTCAAATATTTTAAATTTAAGAGAAAAAAATAATAAAATGCAAGAATTATCTACAATCATATTCATTGATGAAAACATAGAGCTAAAGATGCATAAGAATATTTGCTTAGTACTTTTTGAATAGAGATTATGACTAAGTGAAGGACAAAATACCTTGTTATTACTCAATTCCATCATGTCCAGTAACATCTTAAAATTCACCATAGTACTTTTATTTCCGTCAACAAGTCTGAAATACTGTCCTAACTCTTGTTTATATCAAAATATAAACTTTGATATATCTGTATTCAATCTTCCGTGAAAGTCCTCTTTAAAAATTTCGTCAGCAAAAGTGAGATTGAGAACGAGGAACTCAGACGCTAATGGAGTAGGATTTTTTCCGATATTTAAATTGTTCTCTGTTCTTTACGTCATAGTAAGAGGACAAAGTAGAAAGGGAATAGTGTCTTTCCGAAACGACGAGGATGGCGGGAGAAAGGAGAGCTTCTATTTTAGGAATGAAATGAGTCTTTTCTAAATAATAACGCCTCAAAGCATCAAATTACTCCGTTGGAAATATTTTGAAAGGTTTCGATGGTACATCTGATAGGAACCGAGGAAAGAGGTGAGAGAGTGGAAAAGGTTGAACGAGTTTACATCCTTTCCCAGTAAAGTGTAAGGCCATATAGATAAAATCATTCTGAAAATTTTAGATTTCTGAAATATAATTGGCTAGATAAAAGAAGTCTCACCCACCCGGTGACACGGGAAAAAAATTTGTCGCGCAAAACTTCAGGTACAAAATGCCAAGGGCTTTAAAAAATTTCTTTTCTAATAACTCGGCGACCCTCACAAAAATTTTTCATTTAGTGTAAATATTCATTTATAATATTCAGATTTTCGGTTTCAAATTTAAATCGAATCGAACTGAAAAAATCTTTCAGGTCTTCCGTGTACTTATCAATCATTATCCGTATAAAAAAACCGAAAAACTTTTGTACAAAAGGTAAAATTGCTATTGTAATATAATACGAATTACCGGGCAGTAGGTACAAAACGGAAAGATTTTACAAATAACAAGGTAATCAAGTAATTATAATAAGAAGGAGTCTTCATCAACTTGGCACTTTAAATAAGCAGGTTTATTTACAATTGATTATTGTACAGGTTAATTACATGATATTGATTACTGGTTTCAGGTCATCAAATCAAGCTTGTTGCGAGTAAATAAATTAATATAATACTTTATTAGTGTAATTTAAACGCGATTGAGTAAAATAAATAATTTTAAAAATTAGATTCGGAAAGACAAACAAAATAGTGTAACGTCTTTATAAGTAAAATTACTATCTATATCATTATTATTTATTCATCTATTATTATTATTTTTCAATGCGTTAGCGACGGATACGGGAACTAATGGAAAATGAATAAAAAAAAAAAGAAAATTAATTCAATATCGAAAAAATTCCTTCAATTTCAAATTTTCGTTAAAATGATACTCACTAACAATAATGATAACGACTATCAATGTTACAATTACACCATAAGTGAACCATTTTCTTTTAGTAGGATCTTTATACCAAGAAACAGAATGTGGTTCAACATTTTCATCGATGCTATGAGTTTCATATGTTGATAATTCTAAATCATTATTAGGTGATCGATCAAACCCTGATGATTCTGTGTTGGCTAAAATAAACATTTATTATTCGTTTATATACATTATAAGAAAGAAAAATAAAATAAAAATAATATTTTCATTACATTTTATGTCTTTTGTTTCAGAATTAGAAACTTTAGGTACACTAAAGCTGATATTTTTTCCTTCACTTGTTGTAGCAGTTGTATTTTCTTGACTCATTTTTATTTTCCTCGAAAAAAAAAGAAAATAATTATTTTAAAGAAAATAATTATTTTGAAAAAAAATTCATTTTTATCTAAAATATTAAAAATATGATATCATGTACCAGCATATGATCGTGGAAAATTATCGGCAAATCGGCAATTAAAATGACTCGAAATGGTGTCATTGGTTGCTTTAAAAGTTAGCTGATTGTAAGTATGTGACGACTGTGACGTATGACGTAAAAAATAAATACGCGCTCAGTACCAGGTTCACTAACACAAAAACAAAAAAAAATAATATTAAAAATGCCAATAAATTCTAATACAAGAAATATAAGAAATGCTCCTCTTGTTTCTAATACAAGAAATGTTCCTTCCGCTCCTGCTACGCGTTCTACTGCAAGTGATTAAAACTCAATTCGCAACTATTTACAAAATTCTATTATTAAGAGACCAAAAGGTTATGACACAAAACTTAATTATCTAGATAAATCTTGGAAATCGAATACAAAAAGTAATAAAAAGGAGGCGAAAGAAGAAGTAGCGACTTTGTGTGCTGAATTCATAGAGTCCAAACATTCTTATAATTTTTTAGAGTTATGCGAGTTTTGGAAAAAGTTGGTTCTCAAAAGACTGGAATTTCAAAAAATATGCGTCTGATCGATCAAACTCCTGAAGTCGTTAAATGGTATAATACAGAACGAATGCGAACACTCCCAAAACCAATGCAAGTCTTGCTTCTTGAACTTTGTCAAAAGTATGGCTTTTCTTATCCCCGATTTCATCAAAAGAGCGGGTCTAATAATAAATTGACTTACATCACTTGTAAAGTTAATCAAAAATCATGGGAACCTGACACGAGTTTCTCAAAAAGATCTGATGCAAAAGATCATGTGGCAACCCACACTTTCAACAGTTTATTCCTTAAAATTCAAATTCGTGAAGAGGAGAAAATTAAGAAAGAAAATGAACTAATAAAAGATCAATGTGCCCAGCTTAAAAGGAGAAACTAAGGTAGTTAGAAATAATGTTTATGACCATTCGAACTGTATTCGATTAATCAATTTACAATTTTTCATCTATTTTCATATTTACTTATAAAAAAGTACATCATATTGCTTCACGATGCGGCGAAAAAGAAGCATTGGCCAATAAATTATGAATATCATTCTAGAAACGGTGGTAATTAATTATATAATGTTAAGGATATTGGTTCATATGTGAGTTCTAGCGGCGATTATAACAGATAATTTCTTCTATTCGGGAATTCTTCAATGGGACACCTCAAATTTCAAAAAATGCTGCTAAGGAAGACGTATCCCGAATCGCTTACGGAAATTTTATTTTAACTGGAGATTTATAAAATTCGCTTTTTCTAATTTATGTCTCTGCTAGAACACGTATTGAGAAATTCAGATGAAATAATCATTTGTATGTCTCTAATTTTTCCCCTTTTGTTTATGACTAATACTTTAGTTTTTTTTTATTTCGGCAACTTTAGATCAAGAAACTTTCTGCATTTGTTTCTAATTCAGATTACAACTTGCGTCCTCTAAATGCGAGAAAGAATTAAATGGCTATAAGAATTAAATACAGTGATATTTAATTTAACCTTTGAAATCATTTAAAAGATTAATCTTTCTTCATAATCCTTTAAGTTATTCCAAAATTTAAAGTTAACTAATTATAATTATCAAAACTTATTAAAAGATAATGTACTTTATTATGTACTTTTAATATGTATTTCGGAATTTAAGGCTAAACATGAAGGGAATGTTTTCCATAAACAAATAAGTCAATAATCTATAAAGCTCGTTCAAATAAATTTTCACCGATTATATCTTTAAGATCTTTAAGAGCAAATTTAACTAAAAAATTTCTTACAAGTTCAGTTGTTATTCCAGCAACTTTAACAACCACACCATTTATTATACTTTGTTTTTCATTAAGGATAGATGCGGACCAAACTAATTCAGGCATTTTATCGATTTTACCAATAACAATTTTATTAAATTCTTCTATTATAAAATTAATTAAAGGTATAACTTTTGGTCCATATAAAACTAAAGTAGCATAACATTCATAAGGTTCCAATCGTTTTTTTAGTATATTATTTTGATTATCATTTTTTAATAATACAACATCACGAAAAATTAATTTATCACTAAGAATTAAATCAATACCAGAATCATATTTAAAAAAATCCCAACGCTCACCACGGGACATTCTGCCACAAGTAAACCAGTCAAGTATAATGACAGAGGAAGTGACATCTTGTAATGTAAATACCTGTCGTTGAGTAAAATCAGCATCACGAAAACAAGTTGTTGGATCAGGTAACTGAAGCAATAAAGCATTCTTATGTATGAAAGAATTAAGCTTTTGTCGAGTTCCTTCTGAGATTTTCAATCCTTCGCCGTTTTGTAGAATATTGTTATTAACAAACATCTTTCCTGGGCGTTGTTTGTATATTTTAGTCGAACCTTGTGTTAATAACATTAAATTAACATTTGGATGGATTTCGACTGAAAGAAAAACAGAATCTCCTGACACCATTCCTCCTCCATATGTTATAATATAAGCTGCTGCTAAATATGGACTATGTACTTTAGGTGTTAAAAGTTTTATTGGATATGAAGCACGAAAAGTTGAAAAGGAAGGTCTGGTTGTTGAAGAAGATAAATGACATACTATATGACCATGTCCCGGTGGTGATTTTGAATTCGTTTTATCATATTGATTTAAAGTTGCCATTTATTACTAATGGTAAGAAAGTGGCAACAAGAAAAAGAAAAAAAAAATCGGGTAAAATTTATATGGAGGATCTTCGGTTTCGAATAGTAGTGATTATCACTAAAATAAAAAATTTTAGGCACGATCTCACAATCACATGATTTGTAATACATCTAATTTTATATAAATAGGAAAATTTGTATAATAAAAATAACTCCGGCTCTTTCGACGAAAAAAATCTACTTTCTTTTTTTTTTTTTATTAAGCTCAATCACAGTAAAAAAAAAAATGTCTAATATTAATGAAAAACTTGCAAACATTGCAACAATCCCTTCTCAAAAGGATAAAACTGCAGAATATCGTTCTTTACTTGAAAATATTTTACCTTCAAATGACGCTTTACTCGCAGATAGTTTAGAAGCTTTCGTCGAACATATTGTACAAGAACAAGTTGGCTTGGTAATTTCTCGTCAAGTATTAAGTGATTTTGTACAAGGTGTCGATAAAATTAGTAATCCGGAAATTAAGAAACGTGTTCTTCACTTTGCTTTAAATAAAGTTCAACCTAGAGTTGTTAGTTTTGAAGAACAGGTGAGGTGTATATTTTGCGATTTATTCAATTCTATTATAACTAATTATATTCACGTGTTATTGTTTGTAGATTTCAGCACTTCGCGAGAAATTGGCAGAAATCTATGAAAATGAGGAAGACTGGGTTGAAGCAGCAAAAGTATTACAAGGAATTCCACTAGATTCTGGACATCGGTAATTTAAAGATTAATGATCTATGTTAATTATTTTGTTAATAAATTTTTTAATTTTATCTTCACTTCCATTTTAGAACGATACCTGAAGAATATAAATTAAAAATTTATATCAAGATTGTCCAACTTCTTTTGGAAGAAGATGAAGCAGTATCAGCTGAAACATATCTTAGCCGTGCTGCTTTATTAATTCCTAGTTGTAAAGATCAAGTGATTAATCTTACATTTAAACTTTCACAAGCCAAGATATTTGATTTCAAAAGAAAATTCTTGGAAGCCAGTTCAAAATATCATGAATTAAGTTATGTTTCGGAGTTGGCACCGGAGGATCGCACAAATTGTCTGTAAGTATCTAAACTTGAAATAAAGTTCCATGGAATTTTTTTCTTTTTTTTATAGCATGACTTTAATTTTAATTTGTTACCGCACATAAAAGGAATGCAGCCATAACATGTGCGGTGTTGGCAGGAGCAGGGCCACAACGTTCACGCATGTTGGCAACACTTTATAAGGATGAACGTGTTCAACGCTTACCACATTTTCCAATTCTTGAGAAAATGTACCTTGATCGAGTATTAAGACCAAATGAGGTTAAAGGATTTGCAGAAACACTTAAAGATCATCAAAAAGCAAGATTAGCAGATGGTACAACAGTGCTTGATAGGGCTGTCATTGAACATAACCTTTTATCGGCTTCAATGATTTATAATAATATTACATTTGAAGAACTCGGCTCTTTACTTGCAATTTCTCCCGATCAAGCAGAACAAATTGCAAGCTCAATGATTGAACAGGGTCGTATGCAAGGTACAATTGACCAAATCGAAAGGTTAATATTCTTTGAAAGTAGTTACGGAGGTGGCCATGGTAAATCTGTTGGAGGTGTGCTGGGAGCTAAATGGGATTTATCTATACAGAATGTTTGTCATCACGTAGAAGAAGTTGTAATTGCCATAGGAGCAAAATATCCTGATCTTATGCAAAAATCAACTTTTTAGACCCCTAGTTACTTGTCTTTTAATGGAATTAAAATATTAATAAAAGTTTATTATTTATAAATTTTGCTTACTAAAATATACTTTTTATTTATTTTTGAATGTTTATGTTATTTATGTTATATTTTCAAACAGAAATAAGAAATAAAAATACAAAAAAAGCAAAAGAAATAAGAGAAGATAAATCTATATAAATTAATTATCTCTTGAGACATTATGCCAACCATCTTCAATAGTAGAATCAGTTGCAGTACTTTCAACATCAGAGAAGTCAATCTCTTCATAAGTGGATTCAGTTAAATTACCGCTTTCGGCTAAATAATCGTCAAGAGAATCATCAGTATCGTTACCGTCATTATCAGCAGAAGGTCTTGATATATGACGAGCAGAAGTTGTTCTAGTCTGATTTATAATAGGATTACCGAATGTATCAGTGCGTTGACGAATACTAGTTGAAGCAAGACCTTGAATAAGAAAATCATCGTCATCATCACTTTCTTTGGAAATTTCAGTGAAAGAATCACTTTCTTCTTCTTGTTCGATATCATTATCTTCTCCGTTCTCTTCTTCTTCAGCTAATAATTCTAAAAAAATTTGAGCTTCTCTCTCAGCGTCTCTGTTTAATACGGCGTGTCTCAAATCATTATCCTGTAAATCATTAGTATTATTGGCTGGCCGTTGAAGGTCCGAAGTAAAAGACGTAGATAACGTAGGTGAAGATGCAGAGGAAGAAGATGAGCTTTGGTTCTCATCTATACGACATGTTCTACGATGTGTTCGATGTGTTCTACGACAACCACATTGTAAAACGGATCCGCTAATTCTCATATTATTATTATAATCATACCAAACATATTTAGCAGATGATATACCCAAACCATCGTCTAATTGATCTAATAAATATTCAACATCAACAGAGCCGTAAAAATGTGACCCATTCCATTTATGATGTTCAATAAATGGTATATCAAACCCATCCAGTTGATTATTTATCAATAAAACTAAATCTCCTAATATCGAAGTTATTTTTGATTGTAAATTTGTTGAATTATTATCGCAAAATTCATATAATTGTACTAAATAATTAAATGATTCTGTAGCGAATACAATTCCTTCACTATCATAAATTTGTGAATAAATCGGACTAAATGGTCCATGACTTGAATCTATGTTTAAATTTGTATGAATTATATTAGCATCACTAGGGAAATGGCTGTTGATCTTATTGTCATTTGAATTTGAAGCAGTATTGCAAGAAGAATCAGTATAATTAAAGTCCCATGTATCCGAATTTTGAGTTGTTAAAGTTAGTGAAGAATTTGACGTATTTTTTGTTTGACTTGTTTTTGGTGTTGAAGTGGAAATTGGAGGTGATGACATTAACAAATCAATTGGACTTAGTGCTTTTGTATCTTCCGACACTTTTAACGTAGAATTGTTATCATGCATATTATTATTAAAAGAATCTTTCGGAGAAATGTAATTATTTAGAAATGTTGTTGTTGTAAAAGAAACAGTTTTCCTTGAATTAGCAATAGAATCTGGAGTATTAGAAAATGTATTACTCGAAGGATAATTTAAAGTATCTTTCGTTGAAGAAATTGGGGTTGACGATTGAAATGGATGGTCATTTGTATTTGACTTAAATAAATCATCTTTATCAGTATTTGCTCTTTTCCTTCTACTAACAAAATTCTCTTCTTCAACTTGTTGAATTTGTTCTTCAATATCCATTTCTTGTTCAACTTCTTGTTGTTCTCCCAATACAATATAATCATTTGTGTCATTTAAAGTAGTAGAAATGGAAGAATTAGAAGATATCGTTTCATTATAAGGCCTTTTCGTTGAACTCATTTTTAATTGATAAATTATGCGAATAAAAAAAAATTGACACTTAGGATACAAATACTTTGTTTATATTTATATTTTTTAATAATAAATAGTTAAATAGGAAAACAAAAAAAGAATTTTTACAAAAAAGCTTCTAAAATAAGAAGAACAGAGCAAAAATTACAAGGTTATCAATATAATCTGTCTATCGGATATTTTTACCGTAAGTCCGTAGTCGGATTAAAAACTCCACATAGCTTATCATTTTTTTATAATGATCGTAGAGTTGAAATTTCATTGGTAATGTAATTCCCATTCTCGTTTTCATTTAATAGATTGCTAAAAACGAGTTTTTCCGGCAATCCTTTCCTTCATATATGCTATTTTTGATAATCGATTACATTTACTGTTATGGGTTAAATGGATTACCGCAGTTATTTGTAAACGCGTTAACGCGTAAATCATCCTTACGTATTATCTTTAAACAAGGAAATCAGAATAGTTTGCAACTCTTCTGATGCCAAATATTGCATCTAATTATACTTTAAAGTTGTCATTATGTACATGTGTAACATTGCATCATGAAGATCCGCTAACCCGATTTTTTAAATAAAAGAATTTTGTATCTTTGTAATTGATTTCGTTTATGGAATGATATATAGTCTTAATTCATTTCCGAAACCTTTCTCAACTAAATCTATCTGCCACATATAGTACTCCTGATTCTGTCCCACATATAAAACAAATTTTAAATTAATAATTTTTAATTTATTAGCCAGTTTAATTAAAATTAAATTTAATAAAAGTAATTCTTATTTGTATATAAGAATAATTTATATACAGATGGTGGCCTAAATGATCCGGCCACTTTTCAATGCAAAAAAATATTATATATTAAAGATAAAATTTTAAGCTAAATATAATTATTACGTTTTTATTTATTAGTTTAAACAAAAATTTATTAATAATAAATTCTATCTCTATTTGCAATAATGGCTCATCAATACTGAGATAGTATGCTATTAATTGATTTTTATAATATTCTAGAAAAATATTTTTCCATGTGATTTCAATGTTCTTCCTAAGTACTTTAACATAAAATTTAATAAGATAAGTCTTACAGAACAATGTCTTTTATAATTATAGGTTCTATGCAAATGTAATTATTATGCAAGCTTTGTAAGTTCATATAATTTAAATTTAAAAATCATCCAGTGATTGAATTTTCATGATTTTGGATTTATTATATTTGTCTCATTAAGAGGATTAGAATTATAAAAATTTTGCATTTGTAGGATTCAATCTTTGGCATGTAATTACACCTTATAATATCTTTTGTTTTTAATAATTGGATTTTCATAATTGTTGGCTCATTAGATTTGCCTTATTGAGACGATTCAGATGGTGGTAAATTCATGATTATCTGATCGATATTGACTGAATTACAATATTTTTAATCTTATAAATTTTTTGTTGTGTAATTGTAAAAATTCATGCAGTAAATGGTTCCATATTTCTAAAAAAATTCTGAAATTTCATGAAGGAATTGAAGTATGGAAATTTATTTATTGCTATTATTAATACAAAATTATATGTTTTTTATATTACAGATGGTGATCAAAAGTATACGGACATTTTAATTTGCCAAAATTATGCCGATCATCACGTGATGACGTAATATAAACAATACGTCATTTAACGCCTTATATCATAATAAAAACCTCCCCAATGTTTTTTTTTTAGTAAACATTCACCAAATATGAAGCCACTCACCCCAAAAACCCGATATGCGATTATTTATGGTTATAATTGTGGACAATCGGGCCGTTTAATTGCAGAACACTTGGGGTGTAGTAAAACTGCTGTTTATGATGTACTTAAACATTTTCGTGAAACTGGCTCTTTCACACCAAAAAAAAAATCAGGTCGCCCTCCACTCTTTGACTCACCAGCACGACAAGAACTCAAAGCTTTTGTTAAAGAAAATGGTGAAAATCGTCGACTTTGTTCAAAAAAGCTTGCAACTGTTTGGACAGCTCGTAAAAAGCAACCTATTTCTGTGTGTACCATACGCCGAAACCTCAAAAAGGTTGGACTTAGTGCCTGTATTCCCCGTCATAAACCTGCAATGACAGAAGCACATCGTCAGGCTCGTCTTGAATGGGCTCTTGCGCACAGAGATTGGACAACAAGAAAATGGAGAAGAGTGCTTTTTTCAGATGAAAGCACTTTTACACAATTTCAGAAAGGTCGTCAGGGAAGGGTTTGGCGTGAACCAGGAGAAGAATTGAATCCTGATTGTATTGCAGTTACCGTTAAACACAGTCCTAGCAGAATGTTTTGGGGTTGTTTCTCCTGGCGTGGGCTTGGACCAATTGTTCCGTTAAAAGGCTCAGTTACAGGTCAAACTCATGCTAAAATTATTCAAAACTATGTTGTACCTACTTTGGATGAGCATTTTCCACAGGGTAATGGAATTTTTCAAGAAGACAATGCTCCACCACATCGTTCAAAAGTCGCTATGGCCACCCGTGAAGATGCCAAAATTGTGGTGCTTCAATGGCCAGCACAAAGCCCCGATTTGAACCCCATAGAGAACATGTGGGCAGAAATGAAAGCAATGGTGCATCGACGTGACCCACCACCATCTAATATCAAAGTACTTGAGAAATATGTTAAAGATGCGTGGGATGATATTCCTCCAGAATATTATAAAAAATTAATTGATAGCATGCCACAGAGAATTGAGGCAGTTATTGCTGCAAATGGATATAGTATTAATTATTAATATATAATTTTTTTTTACATAAAATTAATAAAGGACAATCAGATTAATATATTTACTTAATAAATTTTATTTTTATTATATTATTTTATATGAAATTTTTATTTTAAAAAATGTCCGCATACTTTTGATCACCATCTGTATATCAACATGTAATGATCTGTGTAATTTTGGCAAAATAAACTGGCCAGATCATTTAGGCCACCATCTGTACAAAAGCATTCTATAAATACTTTATCTATTGGCTATTTTTCTATACAAGTAAAATCTTATAGATTTTATTTAAAAAATATCCCTATAATAGCAATATTCTAATATATTACTTTACTGTTTTTTTTATTTAATTTTAGAAAAGAATTTGATTAATTATTAAAAAAACTGTAAAATTCTTTAAAAATACAATTATTTTTTTTTATAATTATTTCATATTATTTTTTTTATAAATACAATTACATTAGTTCAAATTATTAATACCATAAAGTCCTAAATATAAACACTCATTTTTGCCTAAAAATGTTTTCTTTTATTAAATTGCTTACATTTTTACCAATAAAAAATGTTTTGCAATATTTTCTATTAAATTATCAAAAAAAAGTTGCAATACATTTTTTTAATTAAATTAATTAAAAAAACATTTTGCAACATTTTTATTAAATTATTAAAAAATGGTATAACCCATTTTTTTTTAAATAAATTAATTAAAAAAAACATTTCACAATATTTTTAATTAATTATTAAAAAATGTTGTCAAATCAGTTTAGCAAATCAGTTCAGTAAATTTATCAAAATGATCAGTAAATTTACTGAAACTGATACTGAAAGTATTAGTTTGATAAATTGATTTAGTAAATTACAAAACTGATACTGAAACTAAAGTTACTGAAACTAATCAGCAAATTTACTAAAGGTTCAGTTTGGTAAATTAAAATACTGAAACTATTTCAATACTAAAACTGATTAGTTCAGTTCAGTAATTACTAAAACTAATCAGAATTTTAAGTCAAAATATTTGAATCTATAAAAAAAAAAGAAATGTTAATTAATATTTTTTACAAAAAAAAATAAAAAAAATTTGTTTTGTGAAATTTACTATTTTGAGTAAAATTATATATATATATATAAAAATAAAAAACATCTTTTTATTTAAAAAAATAAAAATAAATTGTTTTATAATAACAAAATGTTATAAAACTTAAAAATTCTTAAGTTAAAATATGAAGTTTATAAAAAAGAAACATTAATGTTTTTTAAAAAAAAATTAAAAAATAAAGTTTTAAAATTATAATTTCAAAACTTATTAGTATCTAATGCTAAAAGTAACTTATAAAAAAATAAAAAAATATTAATAAAAGTTTCTTTAAAAAGATTTAAGTTTTAAAATTTAAAACTTACTATTAAAACTAGAATCTATAAGAAAAAAAAAAGTTTATTTTTTAATTAATATTTAAAAGGAATTAGTTTAAAAAAATAAGTCTCTTGAATTTTTAAGCCTAAAAATAATAAAAAATTTTCTTAGATTTAAAGTGTTAAAATATTTAAAAATGTTTAATAATTTAATATATAGTTTAAGGATTACATTTATTACTATACATGCCATCCAAATTATTTTGAGCTGCCATAATTATAAGTAAATCCCAAATTCAATTATGCCATCCCAAATTATTTTGGTACTTTACATAGTAAATTATATATAAACTGAATGAATTACAGCATTCCAAATTATTTTAGCATTTTACATAGTAAATTATATATAAACTGAATGAATTACGGTATCCCAAATTATAATTATGGCATCTCAAAATAATTTGGGCAGCATGTATATTTATTATGTAATATTTAGCTTAATATAAACTTATTTTTTCTTTCTTAAATTTAATAACCAATCAAATTATAATATTTATAATAGTGTTTTTAGCAAAACACTAGTCAAAAAAAGACAATTCGGCCTAAATTTGATCAGGTCAAATATAGGTCGAATGATGATCTAACCTGTGTCAAATTGAGGTCAAATTTTTGGGTGCATTTAGGGTGCCAATCGTCTCAAATTCGGAAAGAAAATTCAGCTATCACTACACTACCATTCAACCTAAATTTGACTAAGTTGAATTTAGGTTAAATTTAGGTCTAATAGTGGTGTTAAATTGAGGCGCAGTTCAGATGATTATTTGACACAAAATTTTGTCTTAATATTTATTTATTAATTTAGTTTAATTTCAAATTTATTAATTTATTAAAACACTTAAATATACAGTACATGTATATTAGCATCTATCTAATATATAAATAAAATAATTATACACAATTTCACAATCACATGATTACATCTT